TCTCTCTCTCTCTCTCTCTCTCTCTCTCTCTCTCTCTCTCTCACACACACACACACACACACACACACACACACCAATATTTATGGGGCAATAGAGGAACAACAATAAAACATTGTGGAGGAAAATAGTCTTAAGTTGCATCCATTTCCAAATCAAGCTATGCCTGGCACTTAAACTTGGGCAGAGACAGTATAATTAAATGTTCATGATTGCCTCTGTTTGGTGCTTGTTCTCTTGTGTACCTTGGAAGAAGAATTCACCTCTTATGCTGTTTTTTCCTTTAAACGCTTAAGGCGTTTTATCTTTTGACTCATATCCACCAAAGAGGAAATTCAAAGAGGTGTTTGTATTTTGTTGTACTTTTTCCACTCTAGTTCATCATCAGAGTCTTGGATAGCAGATGTGTTTTATGGAGACTGCAATAATTAGGGAGGCTGGCAATTTATTTGAAAAGAAATTACTCTAAGGGAATGAGATGAACAAGAGACTGACTGCAGAGTATGTGCTCTATGATTCTTCATGAAGTCTGGTATCACATATAAACTATTCTTAACTCATGGGCTTGCATATATATGTGCTGGGATCACACCCCTTTGGTTTTGATGGAAACTATTTTTGCACATTAACACTATATAAATAATTAAGAATAATCTTAAACATAAGACAAAGGTAGATGAAACACAATAAATGCTATTTTGTTCCATCAATGTCTTGCTGATTATTTCCAAGCAAATATACTTATTTATTTGCTTTTATCTTATTTATTGTACCAATGTTTGACTCTGAGTGGTTTACATAATATAATAAATATGCAAGAAAAACCCCAGAAAAGTATTATCCAAAGAAAGTCCAGAGAAAAGACCAAAGCCTTCTATAGCCAAATTTTAAGGGCTTGTTTAAACAGAGCCAGGGTGTGGGCTAAACAAATTTTGGGTGGGATTAAATTTTACAATACACTAGTCCTGTGCCAAAAAAAAAAATGTAACTAAGTCAGTGGAGATAGTGTGTCATAGAAACATCATAAAGGGTCAGTTGACCAGTTGGCTGTCAGAAAGATAAAAAAATAATTTAAAATAAATCCAGTCTTATATAAGGTAAAATTATCCCATCAGGTGAATTGTAAGAACAGAAAAATAGTTGTTATCCAATTTTGTCTACTATTTACCCAAGAAAAGATGTTGGAGTGAAAGTGTGTTTTAAAAGCCCTGGTCTGCATTTTGCAACAGCAGAGGAATTTCAGACATTCATGAGGAATTTAGTTCTAATAAAAGGTTTAGCTTTAGCCAAAAAGATTTCATTATGATGTAAAGTTAGCTGAAACAGCACTGAACCGATAAATGGTTGCCATGCTTATACAGGTGCAAGGGTAAAGTTTGAGTACAGTGGAGAAGCATATTAGGCCACGAAACAGATAACATACAATCCTGTGTAGTATATTGCTATGGGGTTGTGCTATTAAATGCATGTTAGAAATGTGTAAGTGACCAAATGTGAACTAGCCAATGAAATGGCACTATTTAAAATACTATATATGAAATTGATAATATAAGCTGGCTACTATGTGTACCTGGAAAGCCAGTTTGGCTAGAAATTGGGAGACAGTGAGTTCCAGTCCTGTCTTAGACACAATTGGGTGACTTTGGGCCTAGCTATTCTCCCACAGCCTGGGAAGCAGGCAATGGCAAACCATGTCTGAAATCTTTCCAAGAAAACTGCAGAGACTAGTCTAGGCAGTCATCAGAGGTCAACATTGATTCAAAGGAACCTCATCCCCTCCCACAAATGTGTGTTTGTGATACTTGATGTATCCTGCCTGTTTGACCAAGATTCTGAGGACGCTTAATAAAGTTAGTATTGGTTTGACGTTTTGCTAATATTCTTCTGTCACTTCCTGGAGAAAGCAAGTGGAAACTTTGAATTCCTTTGACCTAGTGGATACCTACTGCAAGAACCACATAGTTAGTGTTGACTATGTTTAAGGAAGAGTTCACTATCTAGCATATGGAAGGAAACAGGCTTGAGTTAACTAAATAGTCTCTTTGGATTATCATTGTAGTAAAAAGGTTT